ATTTAACAATGAGGAGAAAGAAGCTGTACAGAAAAATGGTAAAAACTGAATGCACTTAAGCTCTTTCTCTTTTCTAATAGGTAAATAAGTGCCATTTAAAGTTAATAAACTAATAATCAGAAATGTGACACATTAACATAACATATGTAACAGTGAAAGGAATCCAAAGAGGACTGTTAACAATGACTGTCTTTGGAAAGCAGGTTAGGGACATTACTTTGTTCTCATTTCATGATCTTCCTTGAGGTTTAATTTTGGATTTTACCATGGAAATATATTGCTCCTATGATAAAAATAAGTCTATTTAGGATGACTATTATAAAATCCTAAAGTTATTCTATGTAATAAAATCATTTTTGTTTGATTATCAGAATTATGTCAACTCTTTCCTAAGGAAAGAGTTTTTCAGGAAATGGCATGGCCATTGATGAATGGGAACCTCACAAAAAATTGGCAATAACTAAATAATTCTGGAATACAAATGCAGCATAAATTCTATCCCTTGAGATGGAATACTGATTAAATGCAGAGTTTTAAACTGTATCCTGTACTCTCAGTCATTGAACATAGTGTTTGAACAGAAATCAGCAATAAAAGGTTAGGAACACTTCAATTCAGAGGAGAGGGAATAGTTTTGAATGGCTCAAAGACCGCCCCTGATGTTTAGTTCTGGAACTAAGGGGATTTTGGAAAGACAGAGGAAGAAATATTCAGCAGACTAGGGGCAGTGTGAGTGTTCCTGTGTTCAGTGGTTCTTGCCAGGGGAAAAAGCCAGACGTCCAAAGCATTGCAAGAATGACTCTTCTTGTGGTAGCTCTGGCCTCCTAGGAATTAGGAAGCGCCATAAATCTCAGGAGAGGGACTGTTTGTGCAAAATTCCCAGCCTACATTTGCAGACTCCAGAGGTTCAGATGCATTTTGTTATGGGTCAGAAAAACAAGCAGGCTTCTTGGGTACATCTCTCAACGAGGCTTAAATGCTACAACTCCGTGGTATGTCCACCAGTCAGACTACCAAATATAATACCTAATCCACAGTTTGCAACTATTTTTTACAAGCTCATCTGCATTGTCAAAAACAGCACATATTTTAGCAGATAAGCCAGTCAACTCTTAACACAGTTCTGGTCTTTAAGATTTCTTTTTGGAAAGTATATGAGATTTATGGTGGGAATTACTTATGACAGCTGCATTCTTTCCACTGGGCTTAGACCACCATTTGCTCTAATAACTCCTAATTGTGTGTCTATCTCAGTCTAAACTTCTTCAGAGACAAAGGAGGGAAAGACTTTTAAAAATCCCAATGATTTCTGCCAATAGCAAACACTATTTTGAAACCTAAGAAAATCATCTCATGGTAAACAAATAAATGATATTTCAGTGAATGTGGATTTCTTCTGAGAAATTTTTGTGACTGCTGTTAATGTCAGTCTGATTTTTTTAAATGTAAAATGATTTAGTTTCATAGTGTTCTCAACATATTTTTAGCCTAGCAGACAAAATTTCTGTTTGCATTCACAGTCATCTTATTTTCTGCAAAGAGGTAGCTCTCAAAGTAATTTGTCTCTCCAAACTTCACCAAAGTACAATGTGGGTACCTTGAAGACACTGCTCATTTAAAAATCATACCAAGTCTAATTATATTTCCAAAATAAATAGTTTCCAATCCATCAAGAATAATGTGGTCATAAAAAGGATGTCCAAATCCACCAACTACATTGGTTTGGTTTGGCATAAATTTCAAAGCTCTTGAAGTAGAAAGAGGACAGTACATGAATAATTGCAATTTGGATAATATTCTTAGGACTTTGCTTTGCCATTCAGTGAGCTGTTCAGGGTAAGACTAGTCAACTTCAAGACTGTACCTATATAGTTCATAATTGCTAAAATTCACTGATAAGTTCCAGATTATTTTGCAAAATGTAATACCTTCTTTTTTAATATGCACTTTATCTTTTTCACTCTATTCATATGATTTTAGAAGTACAATAGCAGAGGAGCATGAGACATTCAAAGTAGGAGTCACTAATGTCTGAAATTATTATCATTCACAAGATGTGTGGTGTTGATATCTCTGAGTGTGACAACTTAGAAGTGTGTCAAGTTAGATTTATATTGCATCTGATATATTTTACTTTACTCCTCTTACTTTCTGGTTTCTATCTGAAGCCACAGAACAGTTACTCAGCTATGACTCAGTTCTACAACCACAATTCAGAAGTCTGAATTGCCCTCCTTGTCTCCATCACCAGCACTCCCTCCTTTCATCCCAAAAAAAAGTGGGTTATTAATTTAGGATGAGGCCACTTTCTCTAAACAGTAGAATGTGTTCCAACTGTTCATATGTAATATGTCCAACCTATACTACTCTTTCAAATGTTTTTGATTATTGAACTTTAAAAAACATATTTCCACAGAAATTTACATGAAAGTTCAAGAAATGTCCTTCTAATTGTAACTTAAAATTTCTATTAAAAAATTTTAAATACTAGGAAATTTAAACAGTTGAAATCAATTCACAACCCAAAATGACATATACATATCAATGACATTTAAAATAGTATTTTAAGAGTCCTAGCTTCAAAATAGAAGTGCACTTAATTTCATAATCTGTATAAAAGAATATATGTATTAAAGTAAGCTTTAAGTAAAGTCCTACCTTGTAGTAAAATTTTGTGGAATTTAAATAATTTCACTTATTGTTGATCTCTCATAAGGGCTCAGCTAATTAGCAAAACAAAAATTAGCTAAAAAAGAAACATCAAGTCACTTTTTAATTTTTATTAGGTATTTTTCAACTTTAATGATTATCTTAAATAGAATTAATTTAACTATTTAAAAATATAAAAATAAAGACAGTACAAAATTATATATATACTAGGATCTCTCATTTGGAGAACATAGACCCACATATTTCATTGATGTCTCTTCTAAAATATTCTTTCTCTAAACCTTCAAATAAATTGATAACCCACAGAAAAAATTCAGGCCAATTTTCATTTAGTCAAAGTTTGTGTTGGCAGACAAGATGACATTATTCACCATTTTGGTCCTAAATGACATCTGATTACATCTAAATCCAAAACTATTCCTAAAGACTACCATATTACCATCATGAATTTTTTCTATAGATAGTACAAGACCACTGAAGGTGATTTTAGAGAATGCGAAAATATTTTACTTAAAGACTATATGTTCAGAAAAATTAAGATGGAAAACTTAGAGACACAGTTACATGAACAAATTTTAATATTTTTAAATGGTTCATTATTTAAAGTTTTTATAGGTTAAAGCAAAATGCCAAGTACTATATAATGAAAAGGCATGAAAAAATAGTTAATAATATTCATAATTAATTTTTTAACATCCTGTACATATGTACATAACTTAAGCCCAACTGGAACTAATACTAAAGCTAAAAGTCAAATATTAGAAAAGTTTTAATTAAGATGTCAGATTTAAGCTGTCAAGTGCACATTGAACTTTATAGCAAACAAATAAAGTGCTTTTAGATTAATGGAACTATTTTGTGCACCAGGAAGAAGGAATTTATTTGATATTTATAAATGTATATGTCTTAGAATTTTTCATGACTCAATAGGTATCTAGCCTCACCAAATTCTTCACAATTCATATTTCTAGAAATGGGACTAAGCCTCAGTAATTAAATGTTTATCATCGTATTATTCTAGTACTACCAAACTCACACAAATTAATACATTGGCTAGTACAGATTCTATTTTAGTACCATTATCCCAATTACTTGAAAACTATAGTGAATGATTACTCTAAATTCTGCCATTAATACCAATGGTAGAAGTTATGTTCTTCTAACATAACCTATGGATGAAATGTTTTTCACAATGGCAGAAATATTGCTAATTTAAAATATGTAGAAATATAGAAATGGTTAAGCATTAAAGGTACTCAATAAACGTCAGTAAAGAGCTTTGTAAAGGTGTATTATACTATGACAGTAATTTCTTCCAATATATTTAACACTTACTGCTGTGAATAACAATGATTAACAACGTCTTTACAGCACCTTACTAGAGAAAATGCTGGATAAAGACTGTACGGCTGGAAATCTCACTCAGGCCTCTATGAAAGCCTAGAACTTCAAAGAATACAGACTCATAACACTAAAACTGTATCACCAGCATTTCTTAGAGACAGAAATATACTTGAATAAGTATTTCTCTTTATATTTGCTTGGTTTTTAGTCTTCTTGAAAACTTGGCCATAAGTATATATACTTATAAATACTATAAGTATATGTATCAAAAGCAAATAGTTATCCAAATCCTCTGCCAGGATAAGTCATTTTGATGACTAATTTAAAAATAATCTGAAAATACCATCACCATTTTGGCAAGGATTTCATTTTTTTCCCCTCCACAATGGAGTGCCACATTATCTACATTATACTAGAAGATATTGAACTAGTTATGCATCTGGAACTGAGCTTTCACTGTATTATTTCAAATAATCAGACCAATATATGTTATACTACGGTGCTCGCAGCAGAAAGAAATGGGATGGGATGGGATGGGATGGAATCAAGGAAGGAGGGGGACAAGAAGGGGAGGAATAAAAAGAGACTGGAAGGCAGAAAGAAAAGAAGGAAGGAAAAAAATACCTTTCCAAAAATGGGCAATAACATACATATGCCTGAGGTTCTTTTATTTCCTAGTTTGATTCTTATATTTTTCCTGGAATTAAATTGTGAATATTCTATGCAATCCCTTTGCTTCCTAGTGCTTTTTTTATGGTTCAACTAGGTTCCAATTTATTATGATTAACACTCACTGAATGTTATGATTAGTTTATTGGGATTAAGATTTTGAAGACTGCTTAGTTTAAGATGTAGAAATTTGTTTTCTCTATTAGGAAGAAATGTTCACTACTGATGTACTATTGTCTTCCTTCCTGTATTTATTTTTTTCTTTTACTATCTCAGTTCTTATGAGTTAATGTAATTATATGCCCTTTTGTTTTCAGGTTTAGATGTTGATGGAATATATCGAGTTAGTGGCAATCTAGCAACAATACAGAAGTTAAGATTTATTGTCAACCAAGGTAAGTGATCCTTCACTTCATTTTTTTCAGTAGTTACATTTGTAGCAATATTTCAGATCCTGCATTGTGTGTACTGTGAATAAAGGTAAAGTTTTGAAGGGAAAAATAGAAAATTGAAGAAATTAAGAAATTATTACCAGAGAAGTAAAAGATAGCCAGTTTACCTAGAGGTAAATAGAATAGAGAGAAATGCAAAGTAACTATATATGCGAAATAAAGAATGAGTAAAACATGGTAAACTAAAAATTAGTAGGAGAATAAAAAAGAAAAAAGAAAAACAGCCTACAATGAAAAATGCTTCTGGCTACTGGCTTAAAGTAGACATTTGATACATGTTGAATGAATGAATGATGGGAAATATTAAGAGTCAAAATCACAGAAGCTGGAAAATACACAGTGGGTAAGAAAAAGAACTAAGATGAGGAAATTTGTGTGTTATCAGAGCTACAAATTAAAACAATGAGATGCTACTAACACCTATGAGAATGCCTAAAATAAGATGCTGGCTCAGATGCAGAGCAGCAGAGAGTCTCATTCATTTCAGGCTGAAATGCAGAATACTATAGTGACTTCAGAAGACAGCAGTTTCTTATGAAAATAAACATTTTCATCAAATGATGCAGCATATATACTCCTTTCTATTTGCCCAAGTGAGTTAAAGACTTATGTCCACACAAAAACCTGCACATAAATATTTACAGCAGCTTTATTCATAGTTGGTAAAACTTAAAGGCAGGGCTAACATGTAGCTCAGTGGTTCAGTGTTTGTCTAAGTATGTTCTGGGTTTCATCCCCAGCAATACCACCACTGCCATCACCCCGCCACCACTGCCAGCATACCCAGAGTAAAATCTTGATGTCCTTCTGTGGTGAATAGACAAACAAATTATAGTACCTCCAAAAGAATATGTCATTTTTTTTTTGGTGGTATTGGGGTTTGAACTCAGGGTCTCACTCTTGCTAGGCATGTACCCTTCCACTTGAGCTCTCCACCTACCCTATACAATGGAATATTACTTAGATATAAAAACAAATGAGCTATCAAACCATGTGAAGACTTGGAGGACGTTTTAAATGCATGCTGTCGAATGACAGAAGTGAGTGTGAAAAGATTACATAAGGTAAATTATATGGCTTTCTAGAAAAGACTAAACTATAAAGACAGTAAAAGACTAATGGGAGCAGGGAATTTAGGAGAGAGGGAGAGATGAGTAGATGAACACAGATTTTTGAGGGCAGTTGAACAATTCTGTATAATACTGTAATTATGGGCATGTCACAATATCAAAATTATACATTTCATTTGCTGAAATTTGTAGAATATGCAACACAAAAGGAAATGCTAATATAATCTATGGATATTAGTTAATAATGTCATATCAATATGGCCACATCAGTTTTAACAAGGTTACCTTACAAATACTAGGAAAAATTGTTGGAAGGGTAAGTGATATATGGTAATACTTTATCCTTTCTGCTCAATTTTCCCGTAAACCTAAAACTACTCTATAAATTTTTTATTAATTAAAGGACTATGTCTTTAATCACAGCTACTTGGGAAGCAGAGGTAGGAGGATCATGGTTCAAGGCTAATCTGGGCAAAAGGAAGAAATCCTATCTTGAAAAAAAACCTAAAGTAGAAAGGGCTGGGATTAGAATTGTGGCTGAAGGAACGGAACAGAGGACTTTCCTAGCAGGTGTGACTGTGAGTTCAATTCCCAGGACTGCCAAAAATAAAAAAATATATATGTTAATTAGAAAATAAAATTAGGACATGCAAAGTGAGAGGCCTAAAATATCTCGGGGCAGTGCTATGGACAACTTATAAATTTTATAAGCAGAAAAATAGGCGAGATCCCAGACTTTCTTTATGTCCCTGGCATCCTACTGATCCCTTTATGGCTCTGCTTTTTCAGCAAAAACACTGGTTGGTATGGGGTGCTTTGAGAACATTTTTGAGAATTACATTTAAGTAATATATATGATATTCCTTTAGCAATGTAACAGATTCATATTAGATTTCCTTGCACTTTAAAACACTCAATGGTATCTCAGAAGAATTTACAAAGTCCTCATAATCTAGCTTCCCACATAACTTCTAGCTAGTGCCAGATCCTCTGAATTACCTTTATATTAATTTTCTTGGCAGCACTTAGCTTCAAAACCAGGGCCTGAGATATGCATCCTCAGTCCTTTCATGAGACATTCTTAATCTGTACTCCCATGTTGGCATACGGCTGCATTTCATACTCTTTCCCTTTACTTTCAATATCGTCTTATATTTTCCTTTTTAACCCCCATACACAAGCTTCCTTCCTGGTAGATTTTTTCTTATTGTTCAAGACCCATAAGTATTTTCTGGTCTTCTTTCTTTTCTATGTTCCCTTTACACTGGGGAGTTGAATTTAGAGTAGTATATTCAGATCTAATTTCCATCTATTACAGATCCATAAGGTTAATGCCATCTTTTGGAGACAATACAATCAAATGTATTCAGTAACTCTATTTCAGAAACACTGAAATTTAAGTCCTAGTGTCAGAAAATAAAATATTGGTTGAAATATCTGTCTCTTCCACATATTTCTGTAAAAAGTAGGACTTGAATTGCGCTTATATTTTTTCCTCATTAACCAATATTAGATTTGGGGCTTTTGTATGGGGGAGTTCTTAATTAATATTTGTTAAACAATGTGCAAGTCTGTGTGTGCACATGTGTGTGCGGCAGGTAGGAGAAGTGTTGGAACTGTAAGCTTTAAACTCTCACTCCTTCAATTCTACTAAGGTGGAACCACACTGTTAAGCATTGACTGTTGTCTTTTGGGACAGTTGCCCCATGATTCTTGTTTCTGAGGCTCTCTATAACTGAGAATCTGTAACTGCTCTGCTTGTTGACTAATGTGAACTTTTGTCTTTCAGAATTTCTTTCCTTCCAGGGAAAAACACAAAACTAAAGTTTACCTCATTTATTCATATTGGTCCCATTGGACTGAACCAGTGCCCTTTCTGTGGGTAAAAATTGGATTAAATAGCCCCAGCCTCATTTTCAATACTGTTTATAACCAGCTAAAATCATTCTTGTAATATATTTCATGCTGAAACCATATCCTGATTGGGATTCTAGACAGCTGGGAAACACATTTCTTCTACAAAGAAGAAATCGCAAAACAGAAGCCATCCTAGAAACAAACACTAGATGCATTTCCTGCCTTAAAAAATTATGCTCAGCATTTTGAAAAGGCAAAAAATCTGCAAAGAAAATATGAAATCTGTCCATCTCGTCTTTTGCAATCCAAACTTCTGCGTCCTTTGAGGCTATGTAACTGCTCATGTTTCCATGAAAGTTGACAATGTAAAGCTGGACAGAGGCCTGAATTGGTATCTGGTAGCACAGAATTGTCAGTAAACTGTCTCCCTGTGTTATAGCACTGTCAGAATGCAACACATTCAACACAAATTATGCTGCATTAGGACCTTTGAAACCGGTGACTTTGTTCAAGTTGTGTTGAGGAGTTTTTTGAATTAGATGATAAATGAAATGTGTATACCCTTTCAAAGCTTACTAATCAGATTATCCTTTGGATGAATTTTGTGGATTGGTTCCTTACCCCTGTTACTAATACCATACCTTCTCCTTCTTCCACATTAGTACTCTACCAATAGAACTAACAAAGAAAACAATCAAGGGTGGGAACGAACATACATGTGGCTGTGTCTGTGTGTGTGTGTGTGTGTGTGTGTGTGTGTGTGTGTGAAGTGGTGATGCAGTGACAATTCCATGAAAAGCGTATAGTGCTATGTAAATGTAATGCATATTTTTTGTAGTCTAAGATGAAATATAAATGAGTTTGGCATCTCCTACTTGTATTAACACCTTTTATCTCCTCAGTGTTCACCTTACACAATGTTTCTTTTTAAAGAGGCTCTAAATATACATTTTTTAAATGAATAAGTCCTACTCAGTATTAGACCAGAAAAATAAAAACAGATTTTGAAGATTTTCAAGAACAGTTGAATTGCAATTTACGTGTTTCACTAACTTTCTTGAATGCTATAATCATCAGCAATTCTAAATACATCAGTTGAATGATTCAATTTGTTTTGGTTTTCTATTTGACTCACTAAATCAGAAGGAATTAGATACCCTTATTATACTTCCAGATCAGATAACATACAAGTTAAATTCAAAGTGATCACTTTTGAAAAGCATTTCTTAATTAAAACTAGTAATGATAATAATTATTATTTTTTATTATAAAAGTAGCTAACATTTCCATAATTTATTTTGTGTCACTCTACTGATTGCCTTACATATATAATTTAATTTAATCATTTCTTCAACCTCACAGTTATCAGTGCAATTATTATTCCCATTTTAAAATGAGGAAACTGAGGCTCAGATTTTAAATGATGTCCTATGGTAATACAACATTTAATTGAGGAAGCTAATGCTAGATCTCAGATCTTTCTGACTCAGAGCCTATGCTGAAACCAGTGCCATGATTCTGTATTTCCCATTCATTAGTTCTTGACTACATCCTTATAAAAGCAGAGATTAACATTTTCATGCTATACACACTTGTTGGTAACTTTCTGTTTCCATCCTGCTTCTCAATATTGATAAGTGATAAGTACTACCATACAGTTTGGCAAAAATTGTTCAAAGAGAGAGAGATACTTGGGAAAATGCCAAACATCACAGTTAAGAAGAAACACTGCCATTCTCTGTAGGGCTTCATGTGTCTATGTTTGGACCTGGAAACTACTTTAACACAATGCCTTGAGGAAAGGCATTGAGGATTCTTGATTTACTAGAGCTGTTGGTACATTAGTGAGCAGTGCTCTGCCTTGTTTGTTGAATTTGGTGACAGCTTCCAATGACATTTTGCTGATGCAACTCTTCTGCTGTATGTGTGCATCCCCCAAAGAAAACTGGTCCATGACCTCAGATGTCAACCTGTCATCAGCCTGTGTCATTGCGTTGATTCTTCAGAATTGCTCTG